ATATGTGTATATAAGGCATTATACTACAATATATTTATATGTGTAAATATATGAGTGTGTGTATATAATTTCGGTGCTTGCATGCGGAAAACTTAATCATTTTCATTGTATATTATTTTGCTTAATATCCCTTAACACATAACTTCAGACACTGGGAGAAACGCATACATTATCATATGCACACATACATATATATATGCATATATATATATATATATATATAATTTGTTAATAAAAAAAATCAATATTTTTTCTTTCCGTATATATCTTGGGCGTACTGACAAAAATGTTTTTGCTTAACTCCAGCTGGTAAATGCTAAAAATCTTGCTAAAGTAAAGTTTCATTCATTCTCATTCTCCTTTACTCTTAACACTGTTTACTTTTACTTTTTTCAAGCATTGTAACGATTTTCGAAAATGTGTGTATTAACGTTTCTCCTGTTTTTTCTCGTTACATTTTTGCATACATTTTTAAGTTTAATTCCTCGCGGCATCATCAAATACTCGTTAAGTTCTCTCCAGGAAATCACAGAGTAAGTCACATCGAAAGCGAAATAAATAAATAAAGAAAATAAAAGACGATAAAAAAAAGGAAAATGAAAATAAAATTGAAAATACAAAGAAGATATTTATACATATCTTATATATATAAAGATATATACTATGTGAAGACGTGTAACCCTTTTGCAATATTAATGTAAAATGAACTCGTGTCGTGTCATTAGTATCAGTTACCTAAGCGAATTGGTACCTCTGCATCTTGAGCACATTCATGTCGCTTTCACATTCATCGTATTCCTGTATAATTCATTTAATGCTATTTAGAAAACCATTAGAGTTGGTTGAAAAGGATATACATTAGAAATTTATAAACTTGCTTCGATATCTAGCGAATCATAAAAACAAATAAATTGTCTTTAGGGTTTTAGGTCTTAGGTGTTATGGTAGATGTATTATGATTTCTCTCGGCGCTTTTTTTTTCAAACGATCAAAAATGAATGTATTTTATGAAGTTTTTGTTACGTTCTTCTTTACAGTCTATTAAAGTGTTCAATGTAGTTCATACTATCGTGTTAAATATAAAATATAAGGATCGACGATACAATGCTTATCGATATAGTAAGCCATCCCTGGGACATTTAATGTAATGATTGCGAAAGCAAAGCTTTTAAGAAGGGCCTCAATATTGCAAATGCTTCCCTTCTCAATCTAATCTGAAGTATTATTCTGCTGTTGCATGATCGTAATCGTTCATGGACGGTTTGATTCTTTGACAAAATCTAGCTTTCAGCAGTTTCCGTCTTTTCTTCCTTAGTCTTAACCATTGAAAGGGGACTGTGTGGACATTAGAAATTGACTAGTGCTCAGTACGATCGAGTTCGCTGCGAAAATCATTGATATAACGAAACTGGACTAAAATAAGTTGAAGTTGTTGTGTTAATTGTACTTGTCCCGCAATATTGAAAAAATAAAAATTCTACGCTGATGAGCGCATGATTGACTTATTGGGAATTTCGACTTTTGTTGGCTTTGGTGACCAATTTCGAGAGGCTCGATTTGTATCCGCAAATATTTTACACTATTTATATATTTTTTAAGTGTGGAATAGAGCAAACTGTAAAGATAGCCAAGTTGGCTGCCATTACCGGCGCTTTAGAAATGATTAGCAAAACCAATCACCGAGATAAGCACAAATGGAAATAGATCGTCGCCTACTCCTTCTTTCCGTCCTGGCAGCCAACAAAAGCAGACTTATTTTGGATTGATTCCAATAAGAACATGTAGGCCAAGTCTGTTAACAACTTACACAAATCATAAAATCTTTAGTGCACACTTATAGTAAGTAACAACAGTCTACGATTAATAAAAAATAATCGTAGTGATAAGTTATTGTTAAACAAGTAAAAACACTATAGTAAGACTTGGCTCATCATTAATGGCTGTACAACAACTTAAGGCAACAACGATTTTTCACAATAACGCCCCGCATGCGCATTGGTCGAAAAAGTGGTCTGATCCGAGCTGTTTTCAATAAGGGTCGTTACTGCTCCAGAACACGTCAAATCAAAATTTGCGCCTTGTAAGTTAAACATAAACCACAAGATGGACAGACGGATAGACAATAATGATAATATTTTTAACAATAATAATTACTATTCTACCTTGGCAAAAGGTAGAAAGGCAAAGGTCAATCTCAAGATTTTCTGAGCGTTGTATACATCAGCACAAAATCAACATACCCTTGTACTACATACGGTTTAAGGTAAGAAAACCAACGGAATGTAAAGCCGTAAAATCTTAGATAACAATAGCTGGATAGTTAGCTCCAAGTAAAGTGATATAATATAAATTATGGTGGGATTCCGTTGGCGTCATTTGCCCCATAACTTCGTAAAAGACTTGGTCCCACCCGCCGGGCCTCATACGTGAACATAAATAATCTTGACGTGACTCTAGGAAGGCGTGCCCCTTATCTCTGGCATAGAGATGGAATTTCGTTTTTTACGCGATGACACTTAGGTCGGCCAAATAATTAGGCCAATGATTAGCATAAATTAGAATTCACTTCTCAGATTTCTCTCTTCTTGATGCCCTTTTATTGCTTCTAAAATCTTTTTATAAAATTGCTCAATGCCCTTTAGCCATAAAATGGATCCAAGAAATCAAAACACTTATAATTTTAAGATATGCATTAGTTATATACATATGTTTATTTATTTGTTTATTTATTTTTTTTTTGGGGGGGCATACAACTTTTCAATTAATTTTTGCAAAAGAAAAAGTCATAACAACTAATCTTTAATTTTCTTTAGTGCTTAAAATTGAAAGCATTTTACTTTAGTATATGTCGTGGATATGTTTTTCTTTTTATTTTTTAATAAAGTTAATGAAATACCAAAAAATATACACACGTACTATTATTTTATATATGTAACTACAGTGAGTTCGGTAAGAAAGCGATAGAAAATGATAAGATGTCAGGAGAAGCGCCACCATCACCGCTATCTTCACTGTCATACAACGAAAGTAACTTTTCTTTATTTGATTTAGTGTTGTTTTCGTTTCATTTCGTTTCTGTTTCGACTAGTGGCTTCCTCTTACATACCCTCCTCATTGTCACGAGCTCTTCACTATTCCTGTTATATAAGTTGAAAATTGTTCTTATGCTGCTTTTTTGTGGTTTTCTGAATTTCTCTAAATGTCATTTTGCTGTCAACTCGTGGATAATAAGATTACAACTATGTAGAAATAATAAGATTCGGCTAAAAGTTTTCTCATTTTTTTTTTTTTTTTTTGTTGTTCTTACTTGGTTTTGATGCATAAATATTTCCTGAACCAAACTTGAGGTGTGGGTTTAAAAATTTTAAAAATTTTTAAAGAGAAAGAAAGTAAGACATGGAAAAGAAAATAAACTTTTTCTTTTTTTTTTTTTTTGGTTAACATTCTTGCGAAGATTGTAATGGATTTAAGCGTAGACAACAATTATTAAGCGGCTTAACTTTTGATTTTATTCTATTTGCGTGTTTTTTTTAATAACTAAAAAACGATAAAAATTCAAAATGTCAGGTACATAACGTTTATATGACGGGTTTTCTTTTCAACAGTATAACAGCAGTTATCTCCAAAAAGTAATTATTACATACGCGAGTATTGCGCTTTGATAATAGGCAATAAGAGGATTAGAGATTATTCGCAACATTTCTGAGGCAAGATAAATATGAAATCCTTAAGGGGTGAAGGAGAATGATTATGAAGACGGTTAAAGCGACCAGCATCGACAGAAGAAGAAATTGCCAAGATTTAGCTTGTATTTGACCAACTTCGAGCTCCCTTTCAACTACACGTACGGCCAGAAACAACGAAGTATATAGATGTCCCAACAATTTGTTCAAGATTGAGATTAGGTGATTCTTGGGGACTTTTTACGTACCTGTTATCGACAACAGCAGTAGCGCGTATAATTAGCTGTCATGTATCTGCTCGCTCGTCACCGGTGCCAATATGAAATAAACGTAAATTACGATATTAGGAACTTAGTTTTGGATAAGACTACAAAGACTGTGTACTTTTGAGAAGGCTACGTATGATAAGACTTCTTAGAAGCCTATGGACTTTGACTGGTTTACCACGAATAGTGACTGGATTTTACCTTAAGGGTCTTATTGTACAAAAATTCGAAATTCTTGACTAAAAATCGTTCAAACCCGGATTTAGGACTAGTTTTTAATATTTTAGTCATTTATTTAATTGTTTTGTTCCGGAATACAAACTATATAATAATAATATAATACGAATAGATTCCGCGTAGAATAACTCAGGTGTGATATGGAAAATTGGATAAAATATGTAATATATATAAGTGTAAATAAATAAAATTAAAAAATATACAAATAATATAAATCGTTTAGATAAAGATAAATATATTAAATATCTAAATATAATTTTTTTTTGTTAATAAAAAATTTGTTGATATGAAAATTTTCATTGAAATTTGTCAAAGCATTTGGCGAATGTGGAATTTACAATTTTTCAGTCCTTCAAATAAAAACTTGCTGTTTGCTTCATAAATACTGGTTGTGCTGCATGAATTGTAAGCACTTTTATGCATGTCATAACACATATTCACTTAAAAACACACAAAACCACAAAACTTTATATGGCACTGCTTCATAAACATTTCAGAGAATGCGACGTCAATATCAAGAAACTATTAACGGAATCTCTGCACATGCATAAAATGAGAATGTAAGAGCAAGCGTACAAGTGCCTGCTAATTAGCAGCGTTACTTCTATTAGCGATAACAGATGCTCAAAAATTCCAAAAAATTCTAAGAAGTTCCTGAGCTCTATTATGCACAAAATCTTGGAACAAAATGTTGAACCATCTATGCATTTCGTCGTCTTTGGTACCATGTTTAACTAGATATATAGCAAAACAACAATAGGAGTTTCATTTTTATTACATTAATAATTCTTATTTATTTATTTGGTTTCTTTTTCTACTGCTTGTACTTCTCGTTTCCGTATTTTAAAGCTTTCAATAGAACATTGTATTCATTGAAGTGCTTATATTTTGCATTGATCACGGCTTCACTTTCTCCTGCTTCCTCTAACTCAATAAAGCAATGTAACCAATTTCTTAGTTTCGTATCGAACGGCTTAGCTTTTTTACCTTCGAATAAGACTTTCAACTCGTCGGCTTTCATATTATACTTTTTCAAACATTTTTCCATAATATGAAAAATGGTATGATACTGTAAGAAAAGCAAACATTTAATGACTTTTAAAATGCGTTGGTTCATTATCTAAAAAATATTTGTCTGATCTTGGCAAAGAGTGACTGATTGCAAAATGATGGAGAATTGATAAAAAAACATTTTGATTCACAATGAAATCTGTAGGTATGTAAAGCTTTTCTCGTTACTAACGGTTAGTTTTTACGAGAAAAAGGAAAGCTCGTTGTTAATTGTTGAAAGCGTAACGAACTCGAAACGTTAAACCGAAGCGACGAGATTTGTTTAAAAAAAGTTTTCTTTCAAAAGTCGGGTGCTTGTCAAATAGAGGTCTCTCAACCGGATTAACTGGACCCATAATAATCAGCAAATAACTTTCGCAATGGACCGAAACTGTTCTAAACCATACCCTCTAATATTTGAACGCTCTGGCCTTTCTTTAGACGTAAGTAAAATTCATATTTATATTACTACTGCGTTTTACTGCTTCATTTACCTTTTTGTTCATTTTAAGAATCTCTATAGCGGTATCGTATTCATCGAGATTATCCGGTATTCCTGCGTATCTCTCTTTATCGATAATTTGTTTGCCTTTCATGGTGCCAACTGCCTCAAGATAACAATGTGCCCAATGCTTCAACTTCTTATCTATCATCCTAAGATCCTGCACTTCGAAGAAATTATCAATCACATTTATTTTCACGTCGTGCTTTTCTATGCACTTCTCTAGATCTTCGAATACTTTATTTGCATCCTGAAAAACACAAGACATAATCATTTTCTTTTGTAATTACTCTAAAAAAGAATTTCTTACCTTTCCATAATACTGACTGGAATAAGTGAAGTTAACAAAGGAAGCAAAAATCAAAAGGATTATATACCTCATTTTGATGCAATCAGCGATCGCAAAAGTTATTAAATGTTGATAAAATGCACAATGAAACTGAAATTCTAAGCAAATGTTTTTTATACCACACCTCACTTGCCGTAAAGAGCATATTAAGTTTGCGCGGAAGTATGTGACCTTCAAAGCCGCCTTTATTATACCGGTCGATTAAGTATCAATTTGAGCATCGATTTAAGGTTGCTTTCGTGGATATCCGTCCATGCATATTATGTTCAAGCTGAAGATTTCAATTTTTGAGAAATTTAGAATACCGACGAACGTTCTCACAAAAAAATGAAGCCAGAAAAGTATTTCGACATATTAAATTGAACCGAGCTTATTTAGGTTCGATAGGCCAATATTTCGAACTGATGTAAAGATTTAACCGTTTCTTCAAAACGTGAGTGTTTGTACGGCAAGAGGAGTCTAATAGTAATAAAAGATTAATAAAATCAAGTTGATATAAGTATTAACTATATCGAGTTTGGATCATATTAGTCTACTTGTCGGACGTCATCCATATAAGGGTTCTCATGAAAAATAGGCTTTAATAGAGCAATAAAGCTTAATTTTGAGCATTTCAGCAAAAGAAAATGGGTAAAGAATTATAAGACCTTAACAAGAAAAAGCCTTGTCGTACGAAGCTGCCACGGTATCATTTTTGATATTTTAGCACGAAAACAAATGAAATTAAGCCAAGTGGTGTAGTTCTTGTTCGACGATAACGCCCTTATTTTTTTATAACGTGTGAAAAAATACAAAAGTGTGACTAATTTTACATGTAATGTTTAAATATTTTTCTAGCAACGTTGTTGTTCAATTAATACGAGAGATGAATAAAAAATTCCCGTTTTCTTTGCGCAGCTCGTTCAACAACGATCTCGACCATCTTTTTTGTGCAATTAGAAGCAAAATTTCTAATCTTTTTATTGCTGTGGTGTAGTCTTCACGTTCGGATCCTTCTCTGCAGAATCAAATGAAGAAGTCAAAACATTAGAGAACGTGCTTCATGCGTGCACTTGATTTCTCATAAATAGCATGTCGTTTAGCTTTGGGCATCCTCTGATATGCGGACTTTGACGAAAAGTATATCTTTGCCAGACACGAATGTGTAATTTTCGGCGTATTCGAGCGGGTAACTGTAATAGGCAAAGTATTGTAGGGTATCTAAAGGTTGGCCTTGGCCGGCTCTAACATGCTTACTTGCTTTAATTGTTATTTTAGGAGCCTTTAGCGATAGCTATACAATAATCGATATTTGCCGATATTCTTGCATATCTTTTCATCTTCGATTACACGTTGTATTGAACGTAAAAGATTGCCCGAAACCATAGTGTCATAATAATTAAAGTGTAATGTCTAGCCACGCCAGTTACATCTTAAGCTAAAATAATACTTCGCATTCAATAGCTATCGTATCACGTTTTTCTTTGCATGCATTCAGACGTTTAAACATCGTAGACAGCCGTGAAAAGAAAACTTTACAAAAGCTTCCTTATTAATTATTTTTCATATGAATTACTTTTGTAAAATTTTCATCGAAACGTCAATAAGCGATGCAAAGATCTCATATGTTATATGTCTTGATATACTAAATGGTTAAGAAATAATTAAGGACTTATGTCATATAAAATTTCACAATGAAAATACAACTTATATATAATAGTCATGGTCACTGTTAGAGGTGGATTCATAATATCATAACTTCTGCTATTTTTAGAAGAAAGCTTTGGAGAGCCTATAAAGCGGTATCGAGCAACCGTCGCCGAGTCCGCTTACGTTGAAGATTTCAATTAAATGCCATTAAATATGAATGCTGTTTTTTTTTTTTTTTGAAAGGAGAAAATTCACGCAGAATGCATAAAATTGGCCCGTTGATGAAAAAAGTTACTCACCCCTGTTATAAAGTATATATCACAGCAACCAATAACTCTTGCAACTGATATACACGTGTCGTGAAGCGATCAAGAAAGTAGCCCCACTAAAACAATTTGATCTTGTAAACTAACTATGGAAATGTCGTGAAATTTTTGAAAATATTTCATTTAAAAGCTAGTACTATCCAGGAACCATACAGGTGCATCGTAGGTGTTGTGCTGAGTGTGTCTGATAGAAGCGATGTATTACATTCTTGATTAGTAATTCTGAATCGTTCTAAGTACGTCTGTAGCTTCGTCTTCCCTTCTGTGTACTTATGAATCGTCTTTAATGAGAGTTGTCCCACATATTAAGAGAAAGCGCGCCTTCAAATTTAGCAAACGAGTGAACAATACATTTGCAGCATAACATAGACTGACTGTTTTCAATAACAAAAAATGCTATTTCTTTCTCATTACTCACACTTTGGAAAAGATAAAAATATAATACCTTTACGTACATTTTAAAGGTGATGTGAAAGTGCCTGCATAAAAATGGAAAACGCTTGCTACAACTGTCCAAATTATAAAATTTATCCTACTTAAGATGATGGGCATAAAAGATTCGACCAAAGTTGACTACAAGATCCTTTCCGTATTTATAAGAACATAACAGTCCTTTGCGTAAACAAATTATTTTTAATGGTTAAAAATATGCTTGAGTTGGTTTCCAACGTACGTGGCTATAGAAACGCAATTATAAAAATTTTTTCTTCTTTAACGATCTTCACTAAGCCTATACGTCAAGAAGTTTAGAGATGCAATCGAAGTGAATGCCTAAATGTTCTAAGTCTTCACTAGGGAAATTTTTTCTCTTCTTTTGTTCACTTTAACAACGGTAAATGGGGATGCTTTCTTTGGACAATAAACTTTGAATTCGATCTGAAAGAGCTGTCAGGACATTAAGGTGCCTGGATATGCATTAAAATATTACAATATGCGACCTTCTAAATACTCGGCTTCCTATGTTTCGTTGGGCCGTAAACGTGTTAGTAAATCAATGCACAGATCGGATCCAGCAAGTCATCTAATTTCCGCTCAATTTATTTTGACTGTATTCTGTACGGATTTTTACGCGATCTAAGCTTAAAATACATCGGTCAACAACAGCTGGTACTAAGGAAGACACAAACATTTTTTTTTTTTGCACAATTCGAGGGTATTCATCAACCCAATTTTCTCCGAGAGTGACAATCAATTAAACACTTTTCTAAGACTTTTGATGTGTTTTTATCAAAATTTGTTTCAATTTTAGCAAACTCCGTTACTTAGTCAAAACCTGTTTCCATGGAGTGTTGATAATCGCTAGAGATTGTACTGATACTGGCAGCCCTTCGGGCTTCATTTCATACAATTTTGCTTTAAAACCATCAACTTATTACATGGCGCGTTTGTTCCACTTTTAATGCATATGGTACCAATTTGAAGAAGTACTTTCTCATTCAAATTAGAGTGAATATAGTATAATTTGATATTCTCAGGACCAATATTCTGGAATTATATCGATTTCATTTAGTTCATATTTGTGTAATACAAGTTCAATTCTTACTTTAATTTTTGTTCCATAGCTATGTAGGCAAAGCGACGGCGCTGTCACATGTGTGATCAGAAACAAATAACAAACAAGAGAGAGAAAACAAGAGTTCATTAGTTTAGCGTTACCATCATGTTCTTCTTTACCGCGTTACCATCTTACAACACTTACACTTACATTTACGTTATCAACTGTCTTCTGTAACTTAAATTTCCGATCGTCGAGAGTAATTTTCTGCATTATTTTTCGAGGTATTTTTGGGTGTAATCGCCTTTTTCGACCATTCACTGCTTTCAACAAAATCAGCGGCTGTGTGATCTTGTTAAAAATCAGGAAACCCTGACATATTGTTGATTTTGACAAAGAAGAGTGTGGGCTATGCGCTAGCTAGTCGGTGGTTGCAGATCCGAAACTCAGTACGGTAGTCAAATTGTAAAAAAATTAATAAAGTAGAGCTAGTTGGATTTAGTTGGATTTACAGCAGAAAACTTAATTGTTGGGCGTTAGCTATCACACCATATATTCCTGCAAGCAAATTGATTACGCAAATCTGAATTATAATGTTTCCATAATTTAGTTTAGGGATTTTAATTCTTAAATTGTCGGACAACTCGTGACGTAAAGTCGATCAAATGTTTCGCTTATTGTCGCCTATTGTCTACCCACATTTTTTTCGAAACCTCTTTTGCAATCAATATGTTTTATATTAATCTTAAGCGGAAACAATAACTACAACAAATCAATTTGTTTTTCACGTTCGTCTTCTATTACACCCCATTCTATTCTATTCTATTCTATTCCATTATATCCTTGTGCCCTTAGCCAATAGACTATGCTATTGAGTTTGTTATTGCTTGTGTAACAATGCGATACTACGAAAGGTATGTGGCCTTAGAAGCTATTGTCAAACTTAAGAATTATTATTCATTCTTTGATCTGTTCTCCGTTCATTCATAAAGTTTGAAAGGTTCGAGGCAACAAGCAAAATTTGCGTGATAATCAATATAGGTTTGGTTGGTATCATTTCGTGGATTTCGAAATATGGAAGTGGCAAATGATTAGATATGATGGAAATGCGCTTTAGGCAGTTATATGATATCATATATTGTATGAAATACCACATGATACAGAATGCGATTTGTCAATAATGTCGTATTTTGATAGATGATAAGATTGGATATGATATAATCTGCGGAATGATATAATACAGCAAACTTTTACCAAGTTGCAATTTAGTCACAAACGAACTCATGTCAATTTTAACTTTTTCAGAACAAAATGGTCGGTGTTCCGAAGTCGCTTTAAAGTGTACTGCGTCAATTGCTTCGCTTTCATTTAGAAATATCTCCATCGTCAGTTTAGAGATATAGCACTGAATTCATAGATTCTGTAATAAATGAAAAAGCATTTAATAGCTGGATTTGGTATTGAGTAAATAACATGTTTTTGTCTTATTTCTTTGTTTTTGTTTTTTTCTCTATGATGAGATTTTTTTTCATCGTAATATTGTCTCGCCTCTATAGTAATTTACAAGGATGCGATGGTAGTTT